GAGCCTGAGGACATGTAGCACGCTGCTCATTGTACTGCTTCATGGGATTGATAAGATTGATCCTATGGTTAACTTCATGGAAAGGAGGCAAGACCTCAGGTGTGGGTGCCATGACGTCTTCAAAATGCACCCTCCACCAATTGCGGAGGGGAATGAAACCATCGTCCATCATTGGGTGATGTTCCAGATGAGAACAATCAGGTAACTGACCTGACTTTGGGTCAGCCCAGTGTTCTGGAAAATTACGCATGGCATCCTGTACAGATGACACATAAGAAGATCCCCTCATAGTGGCTATACTATGAGGGTTGGTGTTACGGGAATGGGTTCCGGGGAACCCAACCTGAGCCGTTCGGCTCACTAATGGAGGTGGCTGCATAGCCATCGGAGGGAGAGTGGAATGGGATGAGTGTCTGGCAGTGTAACCTGTGTGTCGGCCAACGGTAACTTGGCGCTCCTGGGAGCGTACCAGTAGCGAGTATGATGTGGGCTCCTTGAGGGAGCCACCTGGCTGTCTGCTAATGGGGACTTGGTGCTCCTGGGAGCGTGCCGGTAGCGGGTGTGCTGGGAGTGTGTGGCTAGCGGTGACTTGGCGCTCAATGGAGCGTACCGGTAGTGAGGGATACTGGGACTCCCAAAGGGAGTCACCCAGTTGGTGGCTATCGGTGACTTGGCGCTCATGGGAGCGTACCGGTAGCGGGAGTTGTTGGGGAAAGTGGGCTGGTGGACCAGTGCACGGTAGTGGGTGACCGTGGGAAGTGGGACCCGCGGGTGCGTGGCCAGGCATCCTGGAGCTGCCTGGACCATATCCTTCTCCTGAGGAGGTGGGATAGGTTACAGTTCCTGATAGGGAACTTCTGGTTGGATGGGAGTAACCACTCGACCACCCGGTGGACTGGTGGGAGTGGGCAGCAGGAGGTTGGGCGTGGGAATGCCCACCTCGTTGCGGTTTTGTCATGGAGAGGAGGAATAGGGAGGTGGACATGGTTCCAGGGTTACAGGTTGAGTTTACAGTGGTGGCACAATGGTGAGGATGTTACAATTGCGGTACAAGGTTTTTGGGTTATGTATTCGATAATGAGAAAACATTTTTCGGCATCTGCCTTACACATCATATGACTTCTAACTATCTAATATAAAAGTCACAATGGTCAAGGGAAGTCCCTTGAAACTCAACAAATTCCCCAGCCAGCACCAAAACCCAGTGGGAAAGCTTGGCATGGGGTTTGACAGCGAAATAAAGGTGCAGGGACCAAGGGTTTGATTGTTCATAGTCACGGACCATAAGATTCTAGGTCCATTCCTATAACAGTTGGGCTCCTCCCTAGAGGGGTGATTGGGCAGCGAAGTTGGCTTTGCCTTACCAAGTCACAATTGCTGTGTGCTTGGCAATTTGGATGCCCAATGATTTGAGGGTGAAGCCTTCACTAGGCTTGAATTGTGTCTGTGGGCCTGGCGCCCAGTCGAGATAAAGGAACATTCTGTTGGAACGTCAAATGAAGGGAGTTGGCCTCCATGGATGTGGATGACGTGCTTGCCAAAGTCAAGCATTGCCTTATTCGTGTTCAACCATGGGGCACCTAATATAGCGTCGTACCTTTTGATCTTTACAACATCGAAATAGTGCTTCTTATTCTGACCTAATATCTTCAGGTCAACATTTGTTCCGTAGGAAATGCAGGAACGACTCCCTTTGGTACCCATTTGGAGTACCAAAGGGTTTGGTAGCTCCAGCAGAGGGATGTGGCACACCCTGACAAAGTCAGGGGACAGTGCATCCATCTCTGCTCCACTATCAAACAGGGTGAATGCTCTGGTCCCATTGATTTCAATGAGACCGGTCAGAGTGCAGCGCAAGTCCGCACTCCGATCTGTAGGGTATTTACCTGCCTCTCACGATAGTCTAAACTTCACATCAAACATGGGCAGGTTTTTCTTTGAAATTTTAGCAGGAACCGTTTCGGTTTCCTGCTTGCGAGGGGGTAACTGGCCCTCAGTCTTGAATCAATGAACGGGTTCGTCGACCAGTTCAGCGTAGATTTCTTCTTTGCTCAGGAGTTTCTCCACTCTCTGAGCCAAAGTGAGTAATTGTCCTCAGATGGGTCCACAAATGTCATCCCTCGTAGACCCACATGCCCAAAGGTGACCTCACCTTCAGGCTCACTTTCTAACTCACCCTGAAGATCAGGGTGTTCCTATGGATCGTTGATGAGGCAGTCATCCCCTTCGTTGATAGCAGCCACTGGGTCATCTGGGGACTCCCCAGATGGCTCTTCTTCTTCCACCCCAGCTTCTGTTGCTGGGGTGTCGTCGTTCGCATCTTCATCAATCCCCAGAGTGAAAAGTTTGGCTCTAGGTGGGTGATTTGGGCATTGGAATGAATACCCGATTTTGCCACATTTGTAGCAAAGTGGGTTACCCTTTGCATCCTTTGAGGGACGACATTGATAACTGGAAGATCCGGTATTTGAAGCATACCGGTTATTATTTGGAGGAGGCGCCTGAGTAGGCACCTCAGTCTGAGTTCTTGACGACGAAGCCACTAAGGGTTTCGTCACCACCTGTGTTTTCTTAGCACTATAGGCTACAGATGGAGGGAAACTACGTGTCGTAGTTACCTTTGAAGCGAAGGTCGCCACCCCTTTCATTGAAGGGGCAGTGCTGTGAGAGCCACTCGATTTCATTTTCGAGGGATTTGTAAATTTGGAGGACCTCAGTCCTCCCCTATACGCGTTGATGACATACATGGAATCATACGTGTGGTCTATGTGTAATACTGCAGTCCAAAGGTCATCTTTGGATGAGAAATCGACCGAAATTTGGTCATGCATTACTAGCTCTTCCTTCATGTATAAAGGAAGAGTGTTCAAGAAACGCTCATTGAAACTCACCTGGTCAGGGCGAGTTATCATCTTCTCCGATGCTTGGAGAAGTTGAGTATAGAAGTGCTTGATTCCTTTGGAGGAATCATACGTGAGGGTTTTGAAGAGTTTGGTGGCAGGAACTGCTGCCGATCTCTTCACGTATGTTAACATCAGCTTGTTTAACAGCTGAATGAAGGTAAGGGTTGACCCCTCCTCAAAACCTTGCTTCATATTATGAAGCATGATTTGTTTGGGGTCACCGTCTAAGGCGTGAGCTAGAGCGTCTATATGAAGCTCGTTATAGCTTGTGCCTTTCCACCCATTTCCTGATATCCAGGAAGTGAGCTCCACCAGCCAGTTCTTGAATTTTTCGAGATCATTTTCCCCAGACCACAAAGTGGTCAAGATCGCCCATGAAGCCCTCTGGGTCTCCAGGGGTCATACTGTTAGGGTCCCTAGAATAGGACCTAAGAGTAGTTTCGATGAACCCATCGTTCAGGTTGGTGGCACTCGCCATTCTTGGAACAGTTGAGCTTGTCACCCGAAGCGAGTTCAGATTGTTGCTGAACTCTCTTTTCATGGGAGAAATTAGGTTTATTGGGGCTTCAACCTGAGGACCCGGCATACAACAAACGGTAGGCTGGGGAGTCGAGACTTCTCGCCTCAGCTCCTGCTCTCGTTCATGTGGTTTACTAGGCTGATTAAGGCCAAAGAAGGCGGCCGCATTGCTGTCACCACCACCAGGAGGCACTTGTGCCCTGAACTGCTTGTAGGTATTTAACCTACTCTGCAGTTCTCGAGCATGGCCTCGGCGTTCTGATTCAAGACTGTGCAGCATATAGACATATGCCACATCATTATCCACTTGCATCCTATATTCCTTGGATGCTTCACTCGGTGCAGGAGTAGCAAAGAGGTGTCTTTGCTTCCTCTTGATTTCGCCTCGCTGGTTGCCGAACCGGTTCCATGACAAGATATACGAGGCAATCCTGCCTCAACATCTGCATTATCAGAATCTGATGAACTAATGAAAACCACAGGTGGTTCTTGAGAGTTTAAATGAGACATGTTCAGTTGTTCCACAACTGTCATGACTGCCTGCCCCAACATTTCAGTGATGGTCTTCTGTAGACCCTCACTCCTGTTGGCCTCATCATCAGGAGGTCGATTCTGTGGCTCAAGAAAGTGATCAGGTTCATTACGATCCTTGTTCATGTCATATCCCGGAATCCTGACCCCGCATTCTCCCACCTCATCACACCTTCCTAACAACTTCATCATCCCCTACACCATAACTCCCCACTCCCCAAGTCACCTACCTTCCCAACTGTCTCAGCTCCAGCCTGGTTTGCAGCACACCCTACCTTGGCCACTCCCATCCCGGAAGCTCCGTCCTGAGTCGGAGCATTTGGAGACTCCGGATTTGCTCCGACCTCCCAACAGATCTCTGACATCCCATGACATGCCTCTAAACCATTCCCCCTCCCATTTCATTTATTGGAGTCACCCAACATCCTTCAGATATGTAACTCCGCCTTCAGAACTACCCACATCCTCCAGTGATCCCACTCACATCATCACAAATTAGTCAACTTCCATTATAGTATGACTGTCGTCTTCTTTCCATTCAGTTGGCTAACTTCCTCTTACCCATTTCTCGTTCCCATTCATCCTCCAGCCTTTTACTCTGCCCTTCTCGACCCGACACCTCAGTCCCCCATTAAGGGTATCGTTTGGGACCTTTCGGTACCTTCCGGTATCATTTGGCACCTTTCGGTGTTTTCCATTATCACTCGGACTTTGACTAAAGTCCTTCCCATTCCTCCATATATAAATACTTGTAGATTAGAACCTGTAGTCCCCCAGTTCTAATCTCGACTAAAGTTACCCCAAGTCCCTCTATGAGTGAATCCCGACCCCTTCCTACAAGATACCTCAGCCACATGAAATATAAGGACTAACTGAGACGTAATGGAGGCACAGCGCTCCCTCTGAGTCGCTGAGGCTGTGTCCTTCTTAGAGCCTCTTGTACCACCCAGCAGACCTGGGCTTCCTGGAGAAGCTTCGGTCCACTACCGGAGTTCTCGGATCCCCTCTAGTTGAGCCCTGCCTGCATTCAGACTCATGCACTTTCCCCTACATTTGGGGTTTTTGACAGTTCACCCATTTCTCTTTCAAATGGGAAGGTATCTGTGCCAGTGACGAGGCAGATTCCTCACTTTCTGGGTCGGGGTATATAGTGGCCATCTGTATTCCAGGGTCCCCTGAACCTGGGATGTGAACAAACTTGGGTAGGCCATTGTTGTCATGCAGATTCTGAGTCATCGTAACCATGGGAAAAGTCCCTTGGTCATGCAACATCTGTTTAGATGCCCTAGTTGGATCTAGGGTTCGTCTGGGCACAGTTGATACAGGCTCTGAAGGTCCTTCAGGAACCTTTGGAGTCTCTTCCAACTCCTCAGGTTCGATGGGTCGGGGGGCTTCTTCAGGGCAAAGCTCCTGATGTCCCTTGAGCATGTCTAACCTTTCCAAAATGGTGTTGAATCGACTTTCGAGCCCCTTTTCAAAACTCACAAACGTCTGGATGAATTCCCTCCATGGCACATCTTCTTGTGGTGCAACAACAGAGAGCGGTAGGTCTCCCTTCGTCATTGCTGGGGATTATTAGTCCCTGTTGGCTCACCACTTGTGGTTGGAAGTAGGCGCACAGGTGCTGAAGGGCCTGTGCCTCTTGCCACTGACTGAGTCTCTGTGTCAATTGGTGCATTGTCCAGATCGGCAGCGATCGCAGCTGGGGCTTCTGTATCAGCCACCACTCCCGATCGGATTGGGGTCAATTGGTGTGGCGTTGGCCTCACCAACGTCTACAACGGGATCGAGTTCTTGCTGTGCAGTCTTCACATTCTTTCGATAAGAAGACAATCCAGCTGCCCCTCAAGAACTCATTGGGGAAGAGGGTCTGGGTGAAGATTAGATCAATGTCGATTGAATCAGGAACAAGCACAGGGTTAACTGGATTAACTTACCAAGCAAAAAAAAGTGTAAGCGCATGGTTATAAGTGCCTCACACTCCCAGTCTGTCACACAAATATGCTTTAATGAGCTATATTGTTAATGGGGGAGTAAAGGCTGAGGAGCCTTTCCTCCTACCTGCACGTTTATATATGTGTATTTACATGATGTAATGCAGCTTAATATTATACAGGTTGTTTATGCTTACACCGATTCCACCATTCAGAAAACCCCTTCCATTCATGCGACGACTCAGTACAGATTTGGTATCCAAAAATAGTGCTAATTCGTACGATTCTGACGATACCAAGAACGTCTCAATCGGTGGAGATTTGATGGAGTTCCGTGTTGGAGAAATTAGGCACAGCAGGTCACGAGTATGTGCAGGCATGGTAATTTCAAGCAGCAACCCAGAATTCCAGCCTCACTTGTTCCCACAGCGTTTAATAAATTGATAAAAATGCTTATTGGCTGCCTGAGAGTTATCTCCGCTTGCATTTCCAATTTTGGTTCTTGATTCCGTAAATCCGTTGAGATATCGCTTATTCTCTTATATTTTCATATTTTGCCATCATTTCAGTTATTCTTTTATTGTCACTGTTACCCTTTTTATTATTTTGCCTAATAAGGTATGCAGGTGCCATATGGCACCAATATTTACCATCTATTATTTCTAAAAATAATTGTCCCTTATATCCTGTACATACCAGATTTTGAGAAGGAAGTTCTCCCCTCCCCCAAAATTCTCTAAGGTGCTAGGATGCGCTAGAGTGGGTGTGAGTGAGTGGAATCCAACAGTAGGAATAAGGGCAACTGTCTAGCCCACAACGAGTGGGTAGTAGATTAGTTGAGCCCAGACCTTGCAGAATCCTGGAGAACCCACCGTGGAGTTTAGGATCGAGAATGTAGTGAGTTTAGTGGAGATAGTAGAGTTTTGAGAGTTTGGCCCCATGAGCTTAGTTGGCATAGAGAGCTGCAAGCCCTCTTTCAGTGCCCAGAGTGGCAAATACGAAGCCAAAGAGGCTCAAGACATAGTACAGGGGCAGAGTTCCCCTTCAGTTTGATTTTTAGTGAGATTTACAAGTTTTTTCCTTTTTATCACATCGCACCCAGACCATTTCTCAAACCTCCCCTGAGCATTCCCAACACTAGGCCCCTCTCTCTCTCGTTAGGGTGGTAGATCCCTTGCCCCCTTACAGTGCTGTGCCATTGCTGGTTGTCCTGGGGGTCCCTAATTTCAGATCTAGCAGAGGGGAAGTTTCTTAGGGGAGAATCAAGTCGATTTCAGACTGAGGTTACAAGTTACTAGGTACATTGTATATTATAGGTATAAAAGGCTACTGGTTGGGGTTGGGAGGGAGGCTGGGGGCATCACCAATAGCACCCCTGGTCACTCCAAAGTTTGACAAGAGCTGTGACCAATGATTATACTAATCACCAGTGGGATAAAGACATGATAAAAATAGTATATGGTTGTATTGTCAATCGTGAAACCCAATACAACCATCTTGCATCAAATATTTGATCATAGGTTGTAATTACAGAAAAATAATGACATGATATAAAGTATGATGTGGTTGTATTGTTGGTTGCAAAAACCAATACAACCACCTGGTGTCACAGACCATTCCTGGAAGCTGTCCAAGCACTTCCAAGGCCCATGTTGTGTGGAGCTCAAAGTTCCAGGTCCTCTGATGGTAGGTTGGAGACCAGCCAGAGGTGGGGTGGAGCTCTGGGGGTGACAAGGGTGTTGAAGGGGCTTGGCTTTGGTGACTAGGGGGGGAGTGCTGGTGGCAGGGGAACTGGGTCAGGGGGGAGGGGCCAGATGGCAGCCCCTTACTACTTAACGGCAAAGGCATTAGCAAGGGTCAATCCCTCATCGCCATTCATTGGTTATCATTATACCAAGTGCCCTAGGCCAAGCCCAAATTACATCTGAGAGGTGTGGAGTGGGAAAATGGCAAACCAACTGGATAACAGAGGTTAACTCCATCTGCAAGCAAGCAGGGATACTATGAGGAAAATATCTGGAAGAGTCTGGAACTCAGAAGTCATATTCTGGAATATTGAGTGCAGGGAAAATATAATGTATGGAGTAATTAAAGAATATTGATGAGTGGAGGTAGGGTAGGAGATAAGGAGGTCCAAAGGAATGACAATGGCAAACCCTGAGGTAGAGATGACAGAGGTATGGAGATCTGGATGGAAGCGGTAGGGCAAGGTGGGAATAATGGTGTAGCAACCTTAGTCTACTCACAATACATGATTGATAGGGGGGTCTGGAGGTGAGAGGTCTGGAGTTGAATATAGGAAGGTAATGATGAGAGGGGGAGGTTCCGATGACTTTGTCAGTCATTCACAGCAATCATCAGAATGATGGTGGAGGTCCATAGGAGGCACCAAAATGGAGAGGGTACATGGGGTGGAGGAGAGTTGGGGAAGGAATCTTAGGTTTGTAGGCATCCACCAGAGAGGGTGGAGATGGCTACAGGGGTCAGTGGTCATTGTCAGAGACCGGATGTGGGATGGAGGAGACGTCCCCATGGCAGAGGGCTTTGGCCTCAGCGACTAGACCAGGAGTGCTGTGCCTTAGTTACACATCCATGCCCTAATTGACTAACTGGCAAAAAGAACTAGAAGAGGGAAACTCTAGTCGATTTTATTAGGTGTTAGAGACCAGATCAAGATGAAGGATTGTCTCCATGGTGGAGGGCTTTGGCCTCAGCGACTCAAGCCAGGAGCGCTGTGCCAAGTTACATGTCTGTGCCCTAATTTACTTACTGGCAACGAGAACTAAAGGGGGATCAACTCTAGTCGATTTTATCACTGAGGTGTAACCTATGTACAAGTTAAGTATATATAGTTACAGTGAGAGCAGGCCCGTGAATGGCAGGGCCAAGCGGAGTGGAGCTAAAGGAGTTAAACATTAGCCAACTGAATGTTACTGACAAGTCGGGTTACAGGGTTAGCGGAATGGCAGGCGATAACCCAGAAACAGAAAGGAGGGATAGACCCGAAAGTGGGCTTGCAGGGCAAGCAAGTGAATTGCCCAGCAGAGGCAGGAGTGTGCTAGCGGACGTTGGAGCTGTCCAGAAGCCTTTGGGGCTCCATACTTAGGGAGGCGTAGGTAATATATTGAAAAGAGGGGGTGGTGACCATTGAGGGAGGTGGAGGTGGTTACAGAATACAGGAGCTCCGAGGTTAGTGAAGAAGGAGTGGAGGTGGTCCGGAAGGATCAGAGGCAGTGGAGGTCGATGGCCATGGGTGATATGACACTAGGGTGTAACCTATCTACAAGTTATGTATATATAGTTACGTAGGGGGCAGGCCTGTGAATGGCAGGACTGAGCGGAGCGGAGCTAACAGAGTTACATGTTAGCTGACTGAATATTACCGACAAGTTGGGCTACAGGGTTAGCAGGGTGGTGGGCTATAACCCAGAAATGGAAAGGAGGGATTGGCCCAAAGGTAGACTTGCAGGGCAAGCAAGTGAATCGCCCAGCGGAGGCAGGGGTGCACTAGGGGACGTCAGAGCTGTCCAGAAACCTTCGGGACTCCATACTTAGGGAGGTGTAGGTAATATATTGGATTGAGGGGGTGGTGACCATCAAGGGAGTTGGAGGTGATTGCAGAATATGGAGGCTCTGAGGTTAGTGACAAAGGAGCGGAGGTAATCCAGAAGGACTGGAGGTAGTGGAGGATGATGGCCATGGATGGATATGACAGTCATAGCATGAGTCATCTAGGAACAGGGCAGATAGGGGATGGAAGGTCCAGGATATGACACCTGGCATCAAATTAGAAAATAAACATAGGTTGTAAATTACAGAAAAATAATGACATGATATTGAAATATAATGTGGTCGTATCATTGGTCACGAAACCCAATACAACCACCTGGCAGCAAATTAGAAAATAAACATAGGTTGTAAATTACTGACATGATACTGAAATGTAATGTGGTCATTGCAAGCTGTCATATCTGTACATACCCGATCCCGATCTGACTCCCGGACCTCCATCTTCGCCACCTCCAGAGTCCTACCCTACCACTGTCCTGCCTGATATTCACCTTCAGACCTGACACCACTCCTCCTCTTACCCCTCATGCCACCTCCACCCTTCTGCCCTTCTCCTATCCTATCTCCATCTGCTCTGATACTCACCTCGGACCGAACACCACTCCTCTCGCCACCCTCCTCCTCTCACTCCTCTTACTCCTCATGACACCTCCACCCTTCCATCACTCTCCTACCCTTCCCCTGTCCGCTCTGATACTCACCTTTGGACCTGACACCTTTCCCCTCCTCCACTCCTCTCTTCCCTCTCTTCCCTCTGGCCCTCTTCTGCCGACCCTCCGCCTAGTTACAACCTTCCACCGCTGTCCCGTACCCTGTACTTGGACACTGTTCATACCTTCGCTCCAAGATTCTGTCATAGTTCCGACCTCGGACTTTGACCCCACCTTGGCTTAAGTCCATTGCATTGGTGACCTCATACTATGTAAACACCATTGCCAATATTCCTTGGACTTTCAACCCCACCTCTGTAACCTCTGTAACCTCTGAGCTCCACAGATCATACTTGGCACTTTCGCTGTCTGTAACGTATCTCTCACGTTTTCCCCTCATCCTTATTTG